GGGGGGGGGGGGGGTATGTGTGTGGGTATGTGTGTGGGTATGTGTGTGAAGGTGATAGGGAGAGAGAGGCAGAGACAAAGATGGAGGTAGAGATATAAAAAGTATATATGTAGGGGACAGACCCACGGCTAGTTTAAAAGAAAGAGATTTGAGGCTGGGCAGTGTGATGCAGTATTCCCACAAGGACTGAGAGCAGTAATGCTGACTGTACGTTTAGAAACAGTGGCCCCCCTCTCAGATAATATGAAACCCTGCAGAGTGCAGATAGTAAACAGCGCCCTTTAATACAACAACCAAAGCAACCTCTGTAATAGCTCACAGTTGTCATACTAGATCTTCTAACACCCCCAGCCATTAGAGAGCCACCAATCAAAAATAAACATGCACTGGTCTCCCTACCAGGCAAAACAACTGCTGATATGAAACACAATATCTGACTGGCTGCCTCTCTCCACCGCCCGATTCTTCTTTGTTTCCAAAGACACTGGCAGACAGAAATAGACTCTTATGTGTCTGCTGCCATAAATCGCCGCAGCCAGCCAACCAGCCAGCCAGCAAGCCCTCCTGGCAGCTACAGTCATCTGCCTCCCCACCACTCCTCCTTTAATGGATCCATATATTCTCAAGTCAGGCTGTGGATACTGATCTGTGCTTGTCAATACCCTTTCTCTTGTTAATTTGCTGCGTGGATGTATGTCCTTGTTGCTCTATTACTATGACCGTAGTGTGTGTGTTTTTCTCTCTCTCCCTCTTGCTCTCTAGATTGTTGTGTTTTCATGTCTTTCCCCTTATGCTCCCTCCTTCACTTATGTTTCGCCTTCTCAAGAGTCTTCTTGGTTTCTGATTTTGCAGAACTGGAATGTACCAAAACCACACCAAAGACACCAACAACAACTGCAATAAACGACTTCTCTGTGCTCACAAGGTAAGCACCATGTTTTATGGTTTTCACCTGCTGCTGTATTTACAACAGTATGAGATACATTTTCACTCATAATGTGACTGATTTAAAAGTTCATATTTTATAGGCAAAGAAGCTCCATTTGCAAGGTATTAAATGAGAAACATTTCTGTTCCATGTGGGATTTTTTCCCAATTCTCTATCTCTGGTGTGTGTGTGTGTGTTACAGGAAAAGCTTATCCAGGCTATTAAAAGAATCAAGCACGAGGTAGATGAGTGCAGAGAAGCAGAGAGAGAGACTTACATAGAGTCAGTGGAAGTAGAGGTACTGTTGCTGAATTATTAATCCTTATCTTTTTCAAAAATACACCATCTTCAGACACAGTCATTCCAGTTTAACACAAAATAAATGAGTATATATTCATAACAATTCTGCTTTTTAGTCACACCTAGGCTGAATCGATAATTGCCCATCTTTTCCCTTCCAATTTTTCAGAGCAGTTTTGATGCTCTGGAACGAGAAATCAGAGCCGAGTTTCAGAACCTCCACCGTTTCCTGGATGAGGAGGAGTGTAAGGACCTGGAGCGACTGAAGAGGGAGAGACAGAAACAACTAAAGCAGCTGAAGGAAAGAGAGAAGAAAATAGCAGAGCAAGGGAAAGACCTGGAGAGAGCCATTACAGTGCTCAACAGCAAACTGGCTGAGGAGGACAGTCCTAAACTGCTCAAAGTGAGAAGGCACTTTCACTAAAAAGAGGAGATTACATCCAACTATCAATGAAGTTTGGCTTATCATTGGCTTGAATATACTGTAGCTATATAAAGCTGAGAAGTGGTAATGAGGATGATTTAAATTTGGAGGGTGAGATAATGTGTGAGTACAGAGGAGGAGGTGGAGAATAGTTTGGACTCCCTCCATAAAACATTCTGGAAACTTCTCTGCACAACAGCAGAGCCACACGCGGGTTTATCCAGGGTCACTGTAAGCATTCCCCTTGGCCTGGGACAAAACGTTACTCACCTTACTTATGACTTAAATAACTGTCTATAATTATTCCACCTGTTTGGATTCATTTGAGCTCAGAGCTGGAAACAGTGTGACTCTGCAGGTTTACATCAAAGAGACCCAATTGCAGAACTGCAGCGCAACCCCGTTAGCGGTTCCACGCCTCTTCATCTGCACTTATTTGATCAATTATGGACATTGATTGGCTAAACAGTTGACTTTGCAGGTCAAAATCAATTTCTCATTTAAATGTGAAAGGACTAAAGGCAGTCAGTGCATTGGTCAGCAAATAGGAATGGGCTGTGTAAGGCAGTCTGGCAGCTGGCCGTCCAAACACTGTTACAAGCATTAACCAATTACAACCAATTTTCTTAAACTGTTTCTTTCATTGCAGGAAATTCAAGATCTCATAAAAAGGCAAGTTTTCCCAAAGCGTGTAACGTAAACTAAATTTCTTTTACTGCCTCCACTGTTTCCACCACATCTCATTAATCTTGTGTGGATGCATGCTTGGCATTTGCTCTCATTTCTGCACATCAATCCATCTCCATAATCCTCACTGTGGTGTGTCTACCAGGTTGACACTCTACCATTCATCATTCCCCTCTTCCCATTTTGTCCAAACAGGTCTCAGGTCAGCTTTGTTCTTCCAGCAGAAGTGGACACTGAGGTTCGCTCCGGCCAGTTTGTGGGACCCATACAGTACAGGATATGGAAGCACATGAAAAGCTGCCTTTATCCAAGTATGTGCATATATGTCATTTGATACAACATATGGAAAACAACAACAGAACTCACCTTATTTCATCTCTATTTGACCACAGATATTACATCAGTGACTTTTGACCCTGAGACAGCCCACCCTAATCTGTCCCTGTCTGAGTCTTGCACCTCAGTGTGGTTTGATGAGTCGAAGGACACAAAGGATTGCCAGGTCAACCCACGACAGTTCCACTATTACTACTGTGTGTTGGGCCATCAGGGCTTTACCACAGGCCGACACTACTGGGAGGTTGAGGTGGGACATAAGACAGCATGGAGGTTGGGCGTGGCACAGGATGATGTCCCAAGAGGGGAGATGACTGCTAGTGGCACCTCCAATGGGCTCTGGACCCTGGCCCTGAAGAGTGGATCTATCGTGGCCTGCACCGACCCAAAGCCCACCAAGATCAACGTATCTGTCCGTCTTGTCCGCATCGGTGTGTTCTTAGACTGTGAAAAGGAGGAGGTGTCCTTCTATAACGCTGTTACCATGGCGCCAATCTACACCTTCTCTACGGGAACAGTCATGGGTCCTCTGTTCCCCTTCTATAATCCATGTGATACAGATGATGGAAGGAACACAGGAGCAATTAAGATCTTTCACCCATCACTATGATGAGGGGCTGTTCTCACCAGCTAGAACACTGATGGTCCATAGGGCAAAGTTTCCAATACAAATTTTATATTACTAGAATTATTATTAGATTTAGAGCTGAAATGATTAGTTAAAAAAAAATAATAGCAAGTCAATTGACATTAATTGGAAACTGTTCAATAAATGGCAAATTTTCAGGCAAAAATTGAAAATATTTGTCTTGTCCAATTTGTGGATTTGCTGCTTTTATCTTATGTGATAATGTGTATAATAAAGTGAATTTGGGGGGTTTGCAATAAAACAAGCCATTTGAAGATGTCATTTTCGAATTTTGGAAAATTGTAACTGACATTTTTTGCTATTTTCTTTCAAATTGTACAAACAAAATGATTCATTAAAAAAATTATTGGCAGATTTATTGATAATGAAGATAACTAAGTTGCGGCCCTAATTATAAATTGTACTTACAACTTACTGAAATAATGTTTAAAAAAATTCTGTGTGGCTGTTACTGTTTCTGTTTTTAATGTGCATCCTAAATCTGTACATGGTGAAATATGATGCTTCAAATAAATCTTGAGCTGATTATTATTATTATTATTATTAGAATTCAGCAAAACAAAGTATCAGGAAGGTTGTAATTTGCAACCAGCCTGGAGCTTCAGGGTCCATAGTGGGTGTTAACAGCATTATGATGTTACCTTTGGCCTGCTTATAAATATCTCTGTTGTGCCTGCTCTGCCATGATGTGTCCTGGCGAGGTTCTGGAAGCTCAAAACAAGGCAGTGGGATTAATGGCACGCGGGGGCCTGAAGGGTGAGAAAGTGACGTGTGACACAGAGCACAAATGATGGCTGACATTGAGTGAGATGAGTCACTGAGATGGGATGGACAGCTCTGAGACAGAACTGTCCTTCTGCAAGTTTGTTGCCCTGAGAATAGGAAAACAAAGACAACAGGACAGCAAATGCCATAATCACTTGTTTATTCTTAGTATTCCTTTAGACATGAAATAAAGAAAAAACTATTTTCTTTACAAAACATCTGTGTGAAGTGTTGTGCAAAAAGGGAGTACAGAGAGAACATGTGGGATGTCACACCACACCAAGGCCAGAACAGCAGAAGTTAACAGAGAGGATCAGGGCAGAGACAACTCACATAGTGCAACAAGTGCCAGTGATATTAAAAGTAGTGGTTTCTATTAGTGGGTTATCAGAGGTGGATATGGAACCAGAATCCCTCTGGCACCAGTAAGATGTAATAACTCCCACTAGACTGAGCCGTCTTTGAGATGCTGGTAATGTGTAAGCCACAGGCTCCTCCAGCCCACAACACATGATCTGCCTCTCTCACATCCCTACTCACTCTGAATAGCTTGGTATTACAATCACAGACAATATACAGTAGTGGTGGTACACGAAAAATGCTGTTTAAGCAGTCCCTCATCAATTGCTGACCACAACATAACACCCTCACTTACATATAGAGCACGCTCAGCATTCGTTATTCTACTCGGAATCATCCGGAAAAAACACTTTCTTCATTTTTTTTACAATATGTCACATATCTCCTACACATTAGCATAGCATAGGCCAGTCAGTGGTATCACTTTGTTCCGTCAGGTGTGCAAACAGCTTTTGACATCTGTGAATACACTACCTATCAACAAAAAGGTGCCATCAGGAGTGTCAGGTAATAACTATCCAAAATACTTTTTAGGCACTAAACAAAGACAGAGAGTCACTCAAATATCTCAAAGTTACAATATCTTTTACAATGTTTTGTGGCTTTAAACACATTCACACTCATGATTTAAACACAGCACTTGTTTTTTTCACATTGCAAGACGATTTAAGCAGGCACATGAGTACCTTACTCACAACAGATGGAGAAGCACACGTAAAGTACAGCTGTTTCATACTGTACAAACTGCCTATGCATAGACTCAGCACACACAAACACTCAAACAGTCATAAATCACTCACACTCATACATTATGTGCATCGCAGGCATACACACCTAAACACAGAAATCCCACACACACACACACACACGACAGCCACATTAAAACATCACTCCTCTGGTCACACACACAGATACCACTTTAAGACAGTAAAAGCCTGTTTTTCAGAACATGTTGTGGGCATGCTGCAATCGATGCTTTAAGTGACATAGGTTAAACATTTTAATACATGTAAATACTGTGAGAGCGACTGTATGCTGTGAGTATCATCAGGTTGGAATGGCAATAACAGCTGATAACTGATCTTAAAAGATCTAATATAGTCTTGATGGATTTATACAATATTTGGTTGTTAAATTAGTTCAAGACGTTAGTGAATATTAGTGTTTATAGAATATAGTAATGTATGTGTATATATATATATATATATTGGATTTAATGTTGGTGAGAAATTTTAATTAGTTTTCTTCTTTATTACTAAGTATAATACAACAACCTTTCTATACACTAAAAACATTCAGCCTTAACGGGGTTAAACTGGCGTACACATGCAATATTTACAAGGCTGGAATGTGTGTGTCGAGTTTGTGTGTCTGTGTGTGCGTGTGTGTGTGTGTGTGTGTGTGTATATATATACATGTATAAAGACTATTTTTAGTATTGCCAAGTGGGTTTGTTGTTCCTTCAAAGATCCAGACTAGAAATGAGGCATATAGAGTGTTTTACACGTTCTACATTGGAATGCCTTTGTCCATGTGTAATACATCTGACCATCTGATACTGTTTGTCCAACATTGATGCCCTTTGATTGTTTTGTTTGTTTTAGTTTATACATTACATGTATTGATCTTTGTATTAAATCTGACATCTAAACCTATTTTGTCATATGGCTTTTTAAAAGGCTGACACATTGCCTGATATTAATCTGCTTGTAAGAAAAATCTATTAGTCAGGAAAGGTACCAAGAAAAGCCAGTTGGTCGTATAGTAAATGGATCTACTTGTTACAGTCTTCCTACATTTCACTGATCATTTGATTGAATTTTCATGGCGGTAATGTTGTGCTTTTCTCAAAAGTCAAAAATATTTTTGTTGTTTTCAGTTTACCAGAGCTGGACTTTCACTGGTTTTCCAGTGGTCAGTTAAAACACGAGGTAGAGACATGCAATTTGTAACACTAAAATGTATCTGCACACCTCCTCTGCACCATACAAGACTTTCAACTAAGATTAATTTGTGTTGATTTAACATCTCTGGACAGACGTTGCTGTGAAATTGATAAAGGCCTTTCTTGGGAATATTTGGGAGCCATTAAGCATGCTAGGCGTAAATGTTCAAGCATTTGACAAATTTTAGAGGGCTTTAGAGAGAAAAACAAATCAAAAAAAGGGGGTATAATTTATGTCAAAGGCCATGTACAGTTAAAAATAATGCCCAGCAAACAAAAGGAGAGAAAACAGGAAGGAAAGAAGGGGGTCGAGGAAGGAATGACAGACAAAAGGAAAGCCTGAAAGTAGACAAAGAAGGAAAATGAAAGAAAAAGCAAAGAAACAAGAAAGCATGTTCTAACTATTTGAACTTACCAGCCCCTTTATCCAGTAATTCACCTTGGGAAAGCCCAACGTACAGCAGAAACGCAGAGGTCCCATTAAGTGTCTGGAGTTTTTGTCGGCATGAGCTTCCTACTAAACTTTAGGAATGATGGGATTTTTATAGAGCCACAGGGAAATCCAGATCAAAGACAGTAAAGTGGTTGATCCAGACTTGAGGGATCAGTCTGCAAAACACATTTTAATCATTTGAGATATCCACTGGGAGTCTGAATCTGAATCTCAGAGATTATACATAGTTGGGTTAGTATTATTAGTATGTTTTCTTGTGTGGTTAAAGTTATGCAAAACTAATAATTTTTTTAATATGTGATAATGTATTGCACATGTTTCTGAAGCCAAAGGACTGGCACAAGCGTATAACATCCACATTTAAGCTATGTACAAAATGCCGACAACAAAGTGTTGTCTTTGTGATCAAAAGGGCTTTCATTTTGTGTCCAATCAAAAGACCACACATTTTAGTAGGTCTGAGATGACATTGGCTGAAATTTTCATGCAGTTTGTCTGTTTTTATCCACATGCTGATAGAGGAACGAGCATTCAGATGGAAAACAATGGTTAGTTAAGGTCAAATAAGGAATTCTAGTGTAATGAAATGTTGTAAACCTTTCTGGCTACCTCATTATGTTAGAAAATACCTTATGTGGAGTTTTGCAAAGGAACTCTGCAAAGGATTTCATTTGCAGTCTGACACTTTTACTGCAAAGTTAAAAAATTAGGCGACAAGGTGTATACAACTAAAATGTTTAACAATCAACAAGCCACATTTGTTGTGTGGAGTTTTTCTGAATCATAAAGTCTCAAAGGTTTTTGTGTTAGATTTAAAGTAAGGTGAGATACTGTTATCAAGGTAATACTGTGTTCAGGCATTAGACATGTTAAACCGAAGTCCTCGCCCCAGTTTCAGTGGTTTCTTTATTATTTGGTAGGGGGTGTTCGATTGTCTACAGTGGTGGTAGATGGAGAAAATCTGTGGTGTTTCCCTTGAATTTTTGCAGGGGCAGTTCTCAGGTGGTGGTGGTTGAATCCTCAGCCACAGTGCCATCTTTGCTGGCCTCCATTGCGGCACCACTGGATTTCAGCTCCACTTCAGGGGTTTTAGGGGGAGCTGCTTTTGGAACAGCGCCTCCGATAATATCAGCGTGATCTGGGCTTGGTTTGGAATCCGGACCTGGCTCAGGTGTACCGTTGGTAATAGGTTCTGGTGTGGTTGGTTTAGGGGGCTCAGGTGTGGGAGTCAGGGCACTCTTAATTTCAGGTGTTGGAGTGGTTGCTTTAGGAACAGCTGGTTTAGGTTCTGGGCTTGGGCTGGGAGCAGGCTTTGGATCCGCTGGACTCAGACCAGCCTTGGGCTCAGGGCTCGGGGCTGGGCTGAGCTTAACATCTGCTGGTTTGGACACATCCAACTTTCCTTCTATTGGTTGATCAGGGGTTTTCTTGGTCTCGGGTGCTGGGCAGGCTTCAGTTTCAGCTACTGGACTGGACTTAATTTCCATAGCCGGTGGAGCGCTTGGCTGGGACTCAGCAGCAGATGGAGGACTTGGTTTTGTTTCAGGGGCAACAGAGATGGTTACAGCCACAGACTCAGAGATTGGATCAGGGGCATCAGTGTCAGTGTCCAGCGGGAGGGCGGTGTTGAAGCCAACACCAGAGTCACTGGTCTCTAGGTTATCGACCCCAACCTCTTTAGAGGAAACCTCCAGACCCTGGGTTCAAGCAGACAACAAGTTTATTTGTATAGCGCTGTTCAACAACAGGACCATTCAGTGCTTTACAGAAGGCATACAATACACAACGTACAAGGCAATATAAAGGGATCATACAAATCAGATTTTAAAAGAGTCAAATAAAATGGAAGATAATAATTAGGTAAAAACGGAATAAAACAGGAGAATAAAAGTCACAGCGCAGCTACAATGCAGTGCAAGATAGGAATGAACGGTCCCAAATTTAATTTCATAAAAGGCAGTGGCAAACAGAAAAGGTTTAAGCCTTGATTTAAAAGAACTGAGGGTTGGAGCAGACCTCAGGTTTTCTGGGAGTTTGTTGCAGATATGTACTGCATAAAAACTGAATGCTGCTTCTCCGTGTTTAGTTTTGGGGACATCAAGCAGACCTGTCCCAGAAGACCTGAGAGGTCTGAACAGTTCATAACATAGCAGCAGATCAGAGATGTTATTTAGCCCTAAATCATTCACTGCTTCATAAACCAATAGTAATATTATAAAATCAATTATTTGTCACACAGGAAGCCACTGCAAAGATCCGAGACCTGGACTGATGTGATCCACTTTGTTGATCTTAGTGAGGACTCTAGCAGCAGCAGCGTTCTGAACATGCTGCAGCTGTCTGAACGCAGGAAACATCATAAAAATTATTATTATTATCAAAACCTCTCAAAGACTCAGTTTGAAGAATATAAATCAATCCCATATTCTTACTTTAATGTCCACCTCGGTGCTCTGAGATTTTTCTGTATTGTCTGCCTGGGAATGCTTGGAGTCCTCACTGAGTTTGGTGATGTTCTTGACCACCTGTGAAGATGCACACCAAACAATAGTCCTGCATTATATCATCATACACATCATCATCATCATCATCATCACACTGTCAGTTGATCCTCCAACCTGTCTGAAGGCATCTCCTTCATCCTCTTTGCCAGCATTCTGGGCAATTTTCTCCAGTGCAGCAGCCCTCTTGGCCCTCTTCTTCACTTTGATCAGGCAGGACAGCAGACAAACCAGCAGAAGGAAAACCAGCAGGCCCAATAGGGCAATAATGGCCACATACAGTGACTCCAGCTTGTAGGCTGCATGGAGGCATGTTGGGAAAGCAGAGAGAAGGACAAGAGTGGGGGAGTAAATATTTCAACTGACCTTTCATTCATGTGTTGAAATTCCAGACCATGAATACAGTAGACAAAACAAAGGGCTTGTTCTTCCTTTGTAGTTACAAAACAGTTATTCTGACCCAATTATTTTTCGATACCATCAGCCAGAGGTGGGAGTAAGTCACACATGTGCAAGTCTCAAGCAAATCTCATGTCTTAACCTTCAAGTCTCAAGCAAGTCCCAAGTCATTTTTGTGAGAGTCGAGTCAAGTCAAGTCAAGTCATAGCTCTAGTTAAGCAAGTTCACAAGTCAAGTATAGACAATGAATAAGCTGGAGGACAACCGTCTTAACTTGCTGGTAGCTCAATGTTTATTGCTGTATCCATTACATACATAGGTAACATTGCAATTAAAATATCTTTTTATCAAATAATTAAAGATGTGTAACACTGACATGTGTCCGATTGGATTTCTAATAAGCTGTCATCCTATATTCTCATTAAATTACAGCCTGTCAGCTGTTATTTTGACATATACAGATGGTGGTAGTAAATCACCCATAGACTATATTAGGTAAATGAGCATATGAATAATGTCACTGTCTGTCACACATACATAGAGTTGCAATGAGCTTCCAAGAACCCCCCTAGGAAAGGTAGGCTATGTTGATCACTAGTACATTGGTTCCAAGTGCAGACTAAGATTTCTTTAGATCGATTAGTCGATTAGTCCTTGTTATTTTGCATTTATTTTTCACTACTATTTAAAAATGAACAAACAGAAGATGGCATCATTTTCAGAAGATGAACTCTGTGCATCTGTCTTTTCACAGTTGTGAATACTAATACCAAGTTTTTTTCTTTGTTTAAATATCTTACAATTAATGATTAATCAAATAATAGGTGCATCCCACATATAGATCTACCACCTGGACCTGAAGTGGAGCTTAACGTATTCGTGTAATATCCCTTCATGAGCATTACGATGCTGTCTGATTTAATATCTCTACGACCTTCATATTATTGATGATCGTCGGTCTTGTTGGTAGAATCTCTTTTTGGCTATATGTAACTTTTGGATTCTACTGGTCACTCCTTCACAGGTTGATACGGATCAGCATTTTAATCCCCTTGGGGAATCAAGGCCTGTTGCGTAAAAGGGTGTGTATGTGCGTTAAGGGTGAGTTGGACGACGAGAGTGTGCGCGCTCGTATGCAGGAGTTTGTGGTTGGAAAAGTTCTCTGAAAACATTTTTATACTTTGGGAATCAGGTTGCCGTGTCTCTCGCTCCGGTCTCCACTCTAAACGCTGCAGGTCAGTGATGGGTGCGTCACCTTGGTTAGATTACAGTTGTTTGCCAGGTTCGCCCCCATGCAACAGGAAGACATCATGATCGAACAAAAATATATATTTTTGCTATATCAACAATATTAATAAGAAGCAATGACTTGTCGATCAATTTCATGCAATTCTACAGTCACCTTTTCTCAAAGTCTTATTGATCTGAAGTCAAACCAGTCAAGCTTTCATCACTGTTAATCAAGCCAAGTCCTCAATCTGGCGACTTAAGTCTGACTCGAGTCAAGTCACTCGACTCGAGTCCCCCATCTCTGCCATCAGCAGCTATCACAGCAATGTAAATCTGATAGTTTTCAACCATTCATCGCCATCCTTACGTTGTACTCCCAGGTGGATGCTGGCCACAGTGAACCCCAGTATGTCGGTAATTTTGAACTGGCCCACATCTGCACCCTTGACCTGATCCAGATAAACCAATGAACCCTCCATAGAGAGACGGTCCCCAAAACCCAGATCCTCTCGGGCCTAGTATGAAAAGACATTTATACCATTAACTTAAATAAACTGAACAGCAAAGATACATATAACATTAATGAATGATGCAATAGAGAAAATAACCATAAGAACCAACCATAACCTACAATTATTTGATGTAAAATGCACAACTACTGTTTGGCATATGAACGTTTGTGTATTTTCCAAATGGGGTTTAATAGTGTAATATGGTACTAAACTGTCATATAAAGAATATAGTATACAAAGTTTCCCCCAGGAAATTATTTAGCTAAGGTGGTAAGATCATTGTTTAAGGTTAATGTTATATTTAAGTGTATTAATTTCTTATGATGTCAGTCTACGTGGTCTTTGTATCAGAAGGGGCTGGCCCACCACTATAAAACACTGCTGGAAACCAAAGTATATGTTTTGTAGCTAAATATATTAAATCTATTATTAATATATACAAAGGCACATTGTACATTTCATAATATATATACAGTACAACAATACACACACACAATATGCAGTACAAGTATAAGAGACAGTTACGGTTGTAAATTCTCCCTTGTCCAGTAGCAGATGGGGTGTGTTGTCATTCTCTGGACTGTAGTAGAGGTGGACCAAGGAGCTGTTGAGTATCAGGTCGATCTTCAGTCTTTTACCATACGGCAGGGTTACAAAGTGTTGGTGCTCTGGGACACAGACAGACAGACAGACAGAAGAGGGAAGGACACACAAAAAAATACATTGTCACTCCTGACAGGCTCATGGATAATCTAAAATGCATAAGCCTGCTAGAGCCCATTAATGCTTGGGTCTTTAAAAAGCCATTATGCCAAACAAGAGAAGCGTTGCAGAAAGGAACTAGAAAGGAAACAACAACATCCTGATGGAAGGCGCTGGTCGGTTAAAACAGGTCAAGCATGAAAGAGGGAAAAAAAATTTATGACCTGTCCTCATTTATGCTCTCACCTCTGACGTTGAGACACACTTTCCTTTGGATATCACCTTCGCCATCCCTGACAGTGTAGCTACCTTCATCTGCGCCTGTAACAGCACTGAGGGTGACACGGCGCTCATTGACACTGATTCGACCCTGGTAGCCCTCCCTGGTTATCCCTGTGCTGGTCAGCAGCACCAGAGCAGGTCTGCAAGAGGAAAAGTCAAACAGGATGAACTTTGCTCAACCTTTTCTTGCTAAATATGAGACACACTGTCGCAGTGCATGTACATCATGGCAAAAAATGCCATTACAGATTCTCTTGGGTTAAAATATCAGTGTCATTTTGTTGACTCTACCTAGATGTCTGGTTGGCCTCCACAGAGCTGGGTCTGTACTCCAGGGTGATGGGGGGAGTCACCCCTGACAGTTGAATATGGTAGTTGTCTCCATATTTAATGATCTGCTCGTTGGAGCAATCTAGAAGGTAAAAGCATGGTGGTAAACAGTTTGTTTGAGTAAAAGGAAGCAATGAGGTTAATTACAGTAGGCAGGACATTGCCTGACATTTGAGTAGAGAGAGAGTTTATTTGCTTCGGGTGAAGAAAGAAATGATGGAAATAGAGATTAAAGTGAGGGAAAGGACATACAGAGGTGAAGGAGTGAGGAAGATGGAGGAAGGGGGAATGGCTTGACAGATGTGGCAAAAGGGCGACAGATTGCAGAGAAAGGAGCACTGATCCAAAAATATCAGGGTAGCTGAAATGAAAGGGTAGGGATACAAACCAAAAAGAGGGAAAGACAGTAAAGACAAGATAAAGACAGGAAAACAGCAGGGATGGAAGGAGAGAGGAGTGGGTTAGTGGTTAAAGAGCTGCATAATTACTGCCTGGCAGCTCCGGCATGCTCTCACACATATGCACACAAACACACACACCTCTTCATCACCTCACAACACATTACTGCCTCCATATGGCACATCTCCACATACTGCTACGCTACACTTGCCTTTATCCATGCTGGGTTTGAGCTCACTCCTCCCTCTGCGTTTTTGAATCGCTCCATCCTCCTTTCACGTTTGTGTGTGTGTGCGTGTTTGTGTGTCTAATCTCATCAGAATTATTAGTCAGAGTCCAAAGTCAACACTGCTGCAACTCGTAACGCTCTGAGGACAAACATGATGTGTGACTGAGAGGTTTATTTGGCTGCTGACTGCATTAAAGCAGGAGAAATGTCAGCTCCTACACTACCCTAACTCTGACTCCAGATCAGATATAACAGGCTTATTCTTTGTCCTGGAGTTGTGGCTTTGGTGTCATCCAGTGGTGGAGGAAGTACTAGTAAAGTAAAAGTTACAATACCATAATGTGAATAAATCACAGCATTGAAAGTATTACTTTATTAGTTATCATACAGAAGTATTTAATTCAGAGAACTGGCCCTTGTGAGTGTTGTAGTGTTAAATATCATAAATCATAAATGTATGTATTATGTGTATTGTACATGTGTAAGCAGCATTTTACTATGGTAATTTGTCGAAGATGGGTTAATTTTGTATACTTTTGGGAAGTTTTATCCATAACAATGTATTATAATTTAGGCAAGTCAAATACACAAAAATATATTGCATCTGAGGAAGTACAGTACTTGAGTAAATGTAGCCTACTACTACTACTGCTTTGCAAATATTGCATCAAGGCAAAAACAAAAGAAAATGATTGGCCAATGCACTATTATACTATAACCTAAATATGTACACTACCAACTATATATTTTAGATCTAAAATGTTATTCTGCTGGTCTGTATTGTATTGAATGTGAAATGTATAGTTGCATTAATAGACAAAATCACTAATACATTTATAGTTTATTATGTTGATTTGTAACTTGTACTTTGTAGACCATTTAGTATCATAGCTGAGGTAATGCAAAGGGAACTTGTACTAGTATTGTATAAGAAAGTTTAATTTTAAGAATTTGAGTCTTCCAGCTGATTGTAAATTAGAGTTTGGGATAAAAATTCAGATTTTTCCTGTGAGAGTGTAACATGTTAGTTGAGGCTATGCTTTAATACCGTTCCTAATGTATCATACAACAAAATGTATAATTGTTATCTGTTCATCAGCCCCTCAGTAATCACAAGTAAGTATCACATTATATTTAAGTTTTTATGCTAATTACATTGTTATCACATTATTTGTATTTTCACTCATTTGTAGATTTGGCTAGTACTTTTATATCTCAAGTTGTTTGTATTAACCCATTGTATGTCTGTACTGTATTTTGATGTTCAGGAACCCAGGAACACTAGAGGCATATACGTGTGCTTTTAATGAGGATCCTTAAATAAACAATAAACAGCAACAATACACTCATGTCATCCAGTACCTCGGACTATAAGCGTAATGTGTCTGATGTCCTCTGGATTGTCTGGACTTTTCACAGTGTACACGCCCTCGTCTCCCTCACCGACAGCGTCTACAATGAGGTGGCTGAGCTGCTTGTTGAGTTTGGCCCGATTGTTGACCACCATTTCATCCCGCATCAGAACCACATTGCCCGACCGTGGATTAGACCGGTTCTGAAATATGACCTCCCACTTGAGCGAGGGCAGCAGAATGTGGAAGTCCTCCCCGTGGAACAAGGTCATGGAGTCCTCATTGACTGGATTATACAATGGAAAGAGAAAGGAAGAAGCACTGATAAACACATAAGAGGGCAAGAAAAGTTCATAATGTATAATTGATGAGTGATGAAATCAGTACTGCACTGGTACACTAACTCTTACCTTTCACAGGGGCAGAAAGAGCTGTAAACAAAGAAGAAAAAAGACAAATAAAAAGGGGTTTTCTAAACAAATAATACAGTATGGTGAGCTGACCGCCAGACTACTGTACACTGACGTGGAAAAAGATACAATATCCACATAATACTAGAGGGAACAGCATCACTATTTTTCTTAACATACCTGTGGTGAGCAGAAAGCTGACGGCGATCACACTGACTGTCACCATCCTGGCTGATTCTTTTGTGCCTAGAAAGAAAAAAGGAAGACGTATGTGTTTAGAGAAATTCAACATAATTGGCAACATTTCTTAAATACATATCACTATTTTTTTTACTTTAACCTGTTAGGTGTCCTTTACAGTCTCTCTTATATTTTTGCATGTATGCAGGTGACAGATATTGCTTGACCCTGTTTCACAGTGAAACTGGTGTATGACATCATCCCTGGATGATGTCACCCTATGATGACTGAAGCATCCATTGAGGTACAAAACTGAAACTGAAAATGTGGTTTATTGTTTTTTATTTTGCATTCTTCGGAAGCAGGCGGTATTTTTTAATAAGAAAGGAAAGTATGCCTCTGTACTAAAAATCACAAGATTTGGAGTAGGTATAGTTGTTGTTCAATATTAGCTGGAAATACAATTACAACCATCTGGCTCAAATCCTAAATTCAGATCACCCACAAAATGTTAAAAATTATTCCTTGGATAATGGGGGTCTGTTAATTTGCTATTTCCTGCTGACATGTAAGCACAAACACTCACAAACACGCCTTCCAAACAGATGTAAAATTAAGTTTAGAAAAGAGAAAAGTGTCAGCAGCCATTTAACAATAAATTGAAACATTATTCTTAAGTGCTCCTTCATTCAGTAATGTCACTGACAGTAATATAAAGTATAACATGTTCTTTGCAGGATAAATCTCTCATTACAAACAAAAACAAGGATAAATATAATTTCCACAAGACACTGTGATGGTTTCTGAGATGAATCCTGATTAATTGCAGCACTGAGGGGATATTGATGATGTGACCAGCTTTCTTCTGCTTGAGACAGAGGCAACACATCGAGGGGTTGGACCAAAAGAAACTTTCCTGTGGTTTAATTTACAAAGCCCAGGAGGGGAGCGGGAGGAAACACCTGCAGTGCTCACAGTCAGACAGTGCAGCAGCGAAGTGGCATCCAGTCAAGGTTATCTATATGTCACAAATATGTCCTAATAAAGGATAACAAAGGTTATAATTGAATGAATATGCTTCATTATTCATACAAAACAGTGTCTACATTCAACGCCCATATTCTTTCTTTCTTTTTCTGTCTTTCTTTCTTTCTTTCTTTCTTTCTTTTGTCTTATCCTGTATATGTTCTTGAAGGTGCATTAAGAATTCAATTAGGCTATCTAATCACACTAACAATCTAAAAAACCTCCCCTGAAGATCTTTGAGAATCTTGCAGTCCCTGTAAATTCAATTTATCTGCCATTGCCTGGAGGTTATTATTGGACTTCAGACATAAAAAAACAGCCTGTGGTGCAACTTTTGTGGAGAAAACCAATGACTATGTCATTATAACTTAATAGAATACCTGAGCCTAATCTAAAATGCTTAGATTTATGGGTCAGAGTGTTGTTTAAAGGCGATAGCAACAAGGGATTTATGTCTTAAAGAAGTCCTTTCCTGTGTATGCATGTGCATGTTTACCAGGGCCACCTGGCTTTGGATCACTGTCAAGGATTGTCTATTGATTATGTGCCTGAATTTAACGTAGAATAATTCATGAATCTCAAGATAATTCAAGTCGTGGGGATCTGAGCAACGACCTGCCTGAGTTTCCAACAGGAAATGTCCAGAACAAGAAGGGCTGCAGAGTGAACCTGTTTTCCCTCAAGACTCTTTCTGAGAAGAATCGTGATTAATTGCAACACTGAGGGGATTATAATGATGTGAAGCTGCCTCTGCTGCACTGAGGCATCTGAGGCAACACATCAAGAGAGTTTGTGCAAAAGAGATTGTGCTGCTGTTTTCTTTTACAAGCCCAGGAGGGGACTGGGAGGGAACACCTGCAGTGCTCACAGTCACACTTTGCAGCAGCTAATAAACATGCAGTAAAGATTAAAGTGTCTCATTGTAACACAGGAGACATCATAAGACATGCCATTCCTGCTGGAAATGACGAGGCATTAAGCCATCTTCACACTGTGTGCAAGCTTGTGTTTGCACCTCTGTATGTCTGCCACCTGTCTGTCTTTTCGTATAATATGAACACAGTTTTAAAGACTAACAGCAGAGAGGCCCTCGTCTCTGTTTCTTTGATGAAAATAATTAACATTTCACAGTGTCAGTATCTGAAACCAAAATTGTTGTTTCACAGAAAGGCCTAATAAAACCCTCTGCACTGTGGCTGCCACATCCGCGTGCCACACTCTGGGCAGAAAGCCTAAAAGCCCACTGATTTTATTGTATTTGAAACAAAATATGAAACAAAGCTACGTCACACAGAACAGTGTCTCTTGGCAAACAAATCTTTAATCTTTGTCCTTTTGTAGAGTCATCAATATAACTCAAATTACACTGTAATTTTATTACTGCAGTCCCCATGATTGTCTCGGGAATTTTTGCCTTCTTCTCAGGCTTTGAACCCACATTTGAGGCCACTGCAACAAGCACTGATCGTAACTCCCGACTAAAAAACTGACTTGACCCCTGTAGCCGTCAGCATTTAATTAATACAGCGATCTGAGATGTAGGATTGGTTGGCTCTAAAGGAAAGCGAAAAGGGAACGTGTCCATCTGTTTGTCACAGCAGTAGGCCTTGTGGAGTCACCATAGCCAATCTGGTGTTTCGCAAGATCTGTGGAGCAAGAAATCTAAAATCTTCCACCTCATTTCTGTGTAATTTGAGCAACTGACGCCACGTCAGGGTCCGCCTCAGTGAGCACAAACATGCAAGCACATGAAAACACTATAAGCAATAAGCTATATTATATTCACACACTGTCCTTTGGGCTGTAAATCATGAACAAATGTGCCATCTGCTATCCTTCCCTGACTCGCTCTGCCTTCACTTAGCATCACTCAGTCTTTATTGTACCTCCACTCTTTCCTTCTGCTTTTCTTCCATTTTCTAACTTCTGTCACCATTCTCACGTCTTCAAGTGTTACTTTCTACCACCACCACAATCCTGTTCAAGTCTCTCTCTCCTCTTCTGCTGCCTTCCTTAACTTTCTATAGCTCTGCTTTGACAGCTCTGTATCATCTCTCGATTTTGTTTCCACCACATTTTGTCTCCTCAGCATGACTCCTCTCAACCCGAATGGTCTGCTCGCTATCTTGAGACATCAATCTCTCTCATTTCCCATTTTCTTTGCATTTCTCTCAGGATCTCTTTCTCTTTTTATTATGTCTCTTTCATCCTCTCCTCCTCCTTATCTTATATAATCCAAGCCAGTGCATCCCACTCTGAAATCAAAGCCTGTGCCTGTGTTCCTTCTAACTCCAAACTCTCTACTTACTGGAAGGACAGACAGGTCTTTGTCCACAGGCTTTAAAGAGGCGGAAATGCATTCAATGACTGCAGATGTGGGGACCCTACAAAGCATACTCTGTGCCTTTACCCTTCATCATTTCTCTTTCATTTTCACTTTACTCTTTTTCTTTGCACATGTGATGAGAAGCAATGGCTTTACATGGGGTGAGGTCCCTCTGACGATGAGGAGGCATGCTAGAAGTGAGCTTAGACACACACACACATGCACATACAGTACTGTTCCTTCTTCTCACAGCACCAGACATTTATAAATCATGAGGCATCAGAAAGAAAAAAAAAGAACTGCTGCATCATGTGACACATTGTGAAAATGGCTGAATGTTTACTTGGTGCACCACTTTCAACACTTTCAAACAAATATGGGGTTTCCCTTTGCAGAAATTAAGTAGATTCACAATTTCCATGAAGCATCCCAAATTTCTCCAACCCATATCATGCTTCAGACAGAGATGATGCGGGGAAAATCTCGTCTAGACGGAATCCAAATACAGAATTTCCAAAGTTTATCTTTGATAAGAAGCCTGCAGCAGCTGACAACCTATTTCCCACCAAAGCTGGCTGCAGTGAACTAAAGGATAAGACAGGTTTTCACCATATTGCTTGCACCTGTCAGATTCATTAAAATCAGTGGACATGAGGGAGGAGCAGGGGTGGAGGGGTGGTAGAGCTGCATGCAGTATTGACAGACACACTAAGATAAGAGCACATAAGATATGAAATTTTGCTTTGTGTGTTCCACGATTACACTACAGACATTGCTCTCATGTGCCTCGGCCTTCATGCAGCTCTGGCCACAGTCCATGAGCAGCAGCACAGTGCAGGCGGAGGCAACACATCCAGAGAGCCTTCAGGCTACAGCCTCCTCTCAGATAATGGATGCTATTAGGCTTTTAGATGTTACCTGTACAAAACATTTGGCATTTTCGACCATATAACTTCCTTATATGAGGAGAAAGGTAGGCTCTGAAGAATGAAATATAGCATATAATTTTCTAATCACAATAATAATGGTAGTAGTGATAATATATTTCATTTCTTCAATTAAGGTGGACTAATGACCGGCATCGACTCATCATACCTGTTTTATATTTAATCTCTTTACATATGTATGAAATGAAGAAACATCTGACACCATCTTACATCCTACAAAATAAAAACTGCATTGGATTTTTGACCACCTGAATCCCATCAGGATAGATCAGGATAAATGAATTAACATAAAATAGCCACTGAGGGCGAAGCCGGCTTCCATCCCAGGACCGTTCAGCCAGTAAAACGAGGATGGACATATTTTCACACCTTTCCTCACTGACACTATAATGTGTTAGTTGGTGATTAAAAAAAAAAAACCCTCACAGCTCAAAGTCTAATCTGTCACCTCCGGGGCTGGGATAGCCGATAAGCGCATCAACCCAAAAACTGCAGAATTTAACCCGTCACGCACCAGTCAAATGTAGGACACGCACCCGCACATGCATGTTAGGTAAAGAGGGAAAAAAAAACACCTCTGCAGCTCACCTACCTTTAATTGGCCGGCTGGAGCTGCGGTGCAGTCAGCGGAGATGTGAGGATGCCTGTTCAGAGGTGAATAACTGCGCGGATGTTGCCTGTTTTCTCCCTCGTCGTCTCCCTCCCTCTCAACCTCGTCCCCCTCAAGAGCAGCACTTCACGACTCGGGCTCAACATTTGGAAGATGTTCAGAATATGTCGGGCTCTGCTCGCTCTCGGAGCCACTCGACTCATGTCGGGAAAAACCGGCCACCTATCGCCCCCCAAAAGACACCTACGGTCATCTGACAGTGGGGAGGGGGTTTATTTAATGAGATATCGAGACAGGCAACCCACAGAGGATGCTGATTCAGCACAAAAGCTATGCGTCCGTAAACAAATTAAGCCTACACATTACGTGCAAAGTGGATCATAATGTGCTCATAATAGGTGAGTGTTTGAATTACATGGGTGTCTTGATGCATTGCTTCTCATCACGTCATTTTCCTCAAAATTTTCCACAAATTAAAAGCATTTTATTGGTCAGCTGACTTGGAAACAACAGTACATTTAAGGGGATTTGGCCAATATAATGCCAGAAATAGAAGACAAATAAAATCTGTGCATTTCAGCTTCTAACCTCAAACCCTTTTCACTGTTTAAGCTTAAAATACAAACAGCTCAGATGTGTTGGAAGATGCCCACCTGTTTAGTACAACAACTCTCACCAAGACCTCTTGAAAAACAAAAAAGGTTTTAAGAAAGAGACATGAGCTGTTATTCTCTAGATAAAGGACGAGGAGGAAGAGTAAATCTGGCATATTCTTTAAGTTAAATGGATACAAAGAGAGAGACCCTCCTAAAACAAAGCCAGTGGTCCTCATGAATCTCAAGTCCTGAACTAAACTTTCTGCTTTGAGCTTTAAGGTTCATTCTTGACAATGGAAATGGCAGTTTGACAAAAAAAAAGGGTCTGACATGAATCCTGTGGCTTTCCTCAACTGAGCAACACATCGACATGTAAACAATACAAATACTAGAGTACCAAAATTTGTCTAATAAGCATACTGTTGCAAAATTAAATACACATTTAGTTAAATAATATAAACAGTTTAATGTTTTCATTGGCAATACATAGATTTCATGATTTCATACAAATACAAACTTTAGCTATTTAGCAGTTCTAAAATCAAACTTAGTTACAAGCTAACGAGTCTGTCTTTAAAACACCAATCACACAGCAAGTTTAAATATCTAGAGTGGGTCAGGAAAGAAACCAAATGTGCGTACTGTATACCATGTTCTTGAGCATACTAACAACATGAATACATAACAGCTAAATGAACACACAGTAGGAGGACAAACACTATAAGATATTGATGTAGAAGCAGCATCAGCATTCAGGAGCCTATATCATGTCTCTTCCCTGGACATAATAGGTTTCAATGAAGCCTTAATGGAGTAGGTGGTGGTGGTGGTTAATGGAGACAGAGGAACAGCAGACACACCGGTAGGTTCATGATTACCTTGGTATAAAAAAGGCACAACATACTTCTTATCAGGACAGTAAACAAGCTTTTTTTTCATCCAGTGGCCACTGTAGTTGATGGATCTCAAATCACACCCCCATCGGTTCCACTATTCCACCACCCAAACATGATTATACAACTCCTACTTCAAGGCTGGTTACCTGCCAAACTGGCTGATTGAGTTGAAGCACTTAGCACACAGAGAGTAGCAGTAATTTTGCAGCGTTAATTCCTGCTCTGCTTCCTATCGTTGTACAAAGAGAGGGGGTGGAGCACAGGGGAGGATGAGAGGGGTGAAGTGACAAGAACGATTAATGGGCTCATATTTCCCACCTTGCATAGCAGCAGCATTGCTTTTAGCTTTTGCAACGTTAAAAACTAAATTTTTTCAAATGTACAAGGCAAAAAGATGAGGCTGTAAAAAAAACACTGTTCTGTAGATTGTTGTCATATTTTGTTTCTTCCATCACTCTGCAAAACGGGATGCTGTACATGTTAAATTAATTTTGAACATGTGACAGCTAATAAGGCGGGGCAATATATCAATATTAGATCAATATGGTGATATGATAATAGATATTAAGACGACCGAAATCTAAGACAATATAGTAATGTGGCATAAGTGTTGTATTTTTTGTGGTTTTAAAGGCTGCATTACAGTAAAAGGAGTCATTTTCAGGCTGTTCTATTATTTTTCTTTACCCAGTAATTTATTACATACCCATTATTGATCTCACTAAATAAATAAAATCTCAGTGTAAATATTGTGTGAAAGCACCATTAGTCATCCCTACAACATTGTTGCAATATCAATATTGAGGTATTTGGTAAAAAATATAGTGATATATGATTTTGTCCATATTGCCCAGCCCTAATAGCTAACACAGTAAAACTTCATGAATGCTGCATCCACAGTGTGTTTACAACCATGCAAGTGAACAACCACCTTTTGCTGCATATGGCAAATACATTCTTCAAGTCTTTAATACAGACGAACAGCTGACTCACAAGGGTTTCTTCCGGTCTCTGATTTATATGGTAATCTTTGAGTGTGGGTTTTTTTCTAAGTCTTCTTCCTGCTCCTTCCTCTGCCTCCTGCAGCTTGTAGATTGCTTGTAGGGGCACAGAGCGAGTGGGTCTGAAAGTCGAGTTTCTGCTGCAGGATCCCTGTGAGAATGAACTCAGCAGTGACGACTGGGAGACATGCAGAGCGAGCTGGGCCACACAGCGACCAGTCCTCCTCGCAGGAAATCACCACCGTCTGAGGCTGAGAGCGAGGAAATAAATAAGGAGTAAATTACACATATATCAAATGATAAGATGTGACAAAATAATGTTAATTTATCATATGTAAGACCTTGTGTGAAGAGGGCATCTTAGCGAGAAAGGTAGCTCCACTGCAGGTGATTATGTCTTTCATTTGAACTGGCTCTGGCTTCACTGACTTTGTCACATGGATCTCATATCCCTAAGAGAAAGAAAAAAAGAGATGCAGTACAATACAAGCAAGCAAGTAAGAGTTCTGTCTATTTTTATTTAATCTCTGCAAAAATGCTTAAAGAAATCAATTCAAGGGACTCATGGGAATGTAACTGGGTACAACACGTGTATTATACTCCACAATTTTAGCCAGTATCAGCATAGTATGTGGAGTCAAACTATCTCTTTGCAGAATTGATAAAGCAGTGCAGGGCAGGAGGAGTATGCAACAGAAATGGAAACATTACTGCCTGTTCCCTATGTGAAGTGCCCATAAAACTTAAGCAGTATATTAAACATAAATGTCAATCTACTTCCCACAAGCCAGGTAATGGTAAACAATCGACACTCGTAAAGATGTGAGCATGTTCAGCTTCAGGGGGGTGAGATAAAAAGCTATGCTTGTGGGTAAAAAAGTAGGATTTCAGGTCTTTTATAGGCTGAGGATGATTGTAACATAGATATTTCTGTATTTCTATCACAGTCACTATTCCTAACTCTCAGTATTATCTACCACCCTTGTGCCATACTCACTCTGTTCCCCTCTCACTCAGAGGAAAAATATAAGGACTTACTGAAATAAATGGCATGACTGAGTAATGAGTACCTGTAAGAGAGGCTGACTGCTGGCAATCCTCAGAGACTCCTGAAGGCAGAAACAGAATTTCTTCTCCTGCTCCAGATCCTTCACAACGAAAGCATTGGGAGACAGGAAGCTCCCAGCCTTACCACTCTGAAACACAGAGAAAGATAACAAGAACAATGAGCGTCTATTTGAGTATGTCTCTGAGAGAGATACAATTGTTCTGGGGCCAGTTTTAACTGCTAATATGGCAACTAACCTTTTCCAGCCAGTGTGTGGTGACAATGGGGACTCCTTTAGCCACTGCACACAGGAACTTCACAGTTCTGCGCACCTTATCAGTCACCAGAAAGTTCATGTCTGCCACACCGTTAGCCATGCTGCCTCCTAAACGGGCCAACACTCTCTCCCCTGCTTCATCCACCACGCCTGTGAACAGCACCTGAGAGAATGACAGACACGTTGTGTTATTCAGAAGTCTCAGACTTCCGTTTTTGTTTGGTCTAAAGCCTAAATGTGTTAATGATATGTAATTATATTGAGACAAATATGAGCACGTTTGCAAAGACATAAAACCTTGAAGGCCTGGCTGGCAGCTCGTAAACGACCACTAGCTGCCGGGGAAGCGGAGCAAGAGCGAGGGGTCTTTGTCACAGGTGAGGAGTCTGCAAGAGCCCGTCGCTTCCGAGATACGCTGCTGGTTGGAGTCTGGGGCTGTTAAATGGGCAAGAAAGGGGGGAGGGGAGAATGAGGAATGACAAGAAAGAGAAAACAGTTCAAAACAGACAAGGAAAACCGTGGGGTAGGCTGTATAGACAGCAAAGAAAAACATAATAGTAAGGAAGTGACTGTGTGACCACTAAACTACTTAATTCATTAGTGTATTAATGGTGATGCCGAGCAGGTCAGACTACTCTTGTTGTTGAGAGTGGGAGAGACCTAGACCATCCCTGATGTTGATTGCAGTACATTACGATGGTTAGAAAGGCTGACTCATAGACAGAAATGCACAGAGGGCCAAGGTAAAAGCCTTCCTCCTCAAGGACAGAAGTTCCGGGACACTAATTATATATTACTCAGCTTTCTGTTTGGTCTGATTTATGTTTCAGCCTTAATGTATTTTTGTCTCAAAAGCAACAACTTGAAACCTAAAAATGCAGATTGCATATTTAAAGGTGAAGCTATCAAGTCACCTCTGATGCCTCCACATGTGCATTCTGGTCAACCGATGTTCCACTTTCTTCCTGCTCCTCTTTCCTCTTTTTCTGGACTGTTGATGGCCGACCCCTGCCTCTCCTCTCCACAGCCTCCTCCTCCATTTTCTCACTCTCTTCCTTAACCTCTACTTCAGTGGGGGAATCTTTTGCATTCTTCTTTGCTTGAGCACTGGATGCTCTACCTCTGGTCTTAGCCTGGACAGGAATCTTATCTTTTGTCACTCCTTTTGTTTCTTCTGCTGCCTTTGTCATTTGGGCTTTTTCCTTCCCTTTGGAAATTTTGGAGCTACTGCTGGAATCCTCCTCCGTATTTGGCTCCAACTCTCTCTTTCTTCCCTTTCTTTTCTCTTCATCTCCATCACTGACTGCAGGAGGTACTGGTGCCTCCACAGTCTCAATCTCAACTGCTTTTTGGCCTCTGCCCCTGACATTCCTTTTAGGCAAAAGTGATTCTTCATTGGCATGTCCTTTCCCCTGATTTGAAGGGTCTTCCTCATCTGCAGCTGCAGGTTCAGAGCTATTTGCATTAGCTCGCTGCCGCCCCCTTGTGGTACTAGCCTGCTGAGAGTCTACTGTCTCTTTATCATCTTCATGGGGAACTGCATTTGTAGATTCTCCTGTTTTCCTGCTTTTCCTGCCTCTGGCTGTAGGTTTGGGAGCTGAATTCTGATCACTCTGACTATTGATAGGAGGGATTGAGTCTACCTCTGTTTTCCTCCCTCTTCCTCGCTGCCTGCCTCCTCTTCCTCTGCTCTGAGAGCTTAAGCTGGAGCTGGAAATCTCAGAGTTGAGAGAGTTGTTAGAGTTAGACCCCAAAAGGACTCCCTGAGGAGAAATATCATTACTGTCCTGTTCTGTTGGCTCTGCAGCCACCGTCCTCCTTCTATTGCTGCTTCTGGCGTTGGCCACCCGGGGGGGCTCACTCGTCCTCTTTGCTCCTCTGCCTCGGCCTCTCCCCCTGCTCTCCTGGGTGTTAACACTTGAGGCAGACCTCTCTGAGTTGACAGAGTTGGAAGAGTTGGAGCGAGATCTAGTTCTCCTTGCTGGGACATCATCGTTGGTTGATATGGTTGAGTCCTGTTCTGGCTCTGTGGTACATGGGGCAGCGATTGTTCTTCTGGCTGCTCTCTGACCTCTTGTGGCCTTGTTTTCTTGTTGCTCTTTTATTTGTTTTTCTTTGGCCTCTTTTTCTTGTTTTTCTTTCTCCAATCTTCCTCTTTCTTCCCTTTCCTTTGCTTCCCTCTCCAGCCTTGCATGTTTTTCTTGTTCCTCCCTCTCAAGTCTTTGTTCTAGTTCCCTCTTTGCTGTCTCCAGTCTCTCTTTTTCTTCCTGTTCCTTTCTTTCCTTTTCTATTCTTGCTTTCTCTTCTCTCTCCAATCTCTCCTTCTCTACTCTTTCTGCCTTTTCACGCTCTAATCTTCCCCTTTCTTCCTTCTCCTTTCTTTCCCTCAACAATTGTTCTTCTTTGTCCTTTTGTGTCCTATCAGCTCTTTCCTTTTCTTCTTGTTCCTTTCTTTCCCTTTCTATTGTCTCTTTTTCTGCTTGCTCCCGCTCAAGTCTTAACCCTTCAGCCTTTTCAGCCTGTAATCTTTCTTGTTCTTCCTTCTCTTTTCTTTCCCTTTCTAATTTTTCTTGTTCTTCTCTTCTATGCTGACTCTCCTCCATTTGTTCTTTTTCCTCTCCCAATTCTTCTTGTTCCTTAATTAGGCTGTTATTTTCATGCATGTTTCTTTCCGTTTCTTTCTCTTCCCCATCTTTCTTTTGCCTCACGGATTTTTTCCCTCTAGCTCGCTTAGCCTGCTCTACCACCTCCTCTTCCTCACTCTCATCCTTATCGGGCCTTGGTTTTCCTCTTCTTCCTCTGGTAGTTGGCAAAGCTCTATTCTTCCCTCTTGTCTCTCTCTTCGGAGTTTCCAAAAACTCTGCCTGCTTCTCTTCTTCTTTTAATCTTGCCCTTGTCCCTCTTTTACCTATAATAGCGATGCGACTGGGTCCAGCTTCAGATAGTCTCTCCTTTTCCCTCTGAGGCTGCAAGTCAGCTTTTGTTTCTAGGGGCAGAGTTTCAACAGTGGACGCCTCAGAATTTGTGAGCGGTTGTGTGTCCTCTTCTTGAGTTTGCAGTGGCTTTGCTTTTCTTTTTCGTCGGCCTGGAATTGAGTCTTCTTCATCACTTTCTCTGTCCCCACCCGTGACTATGGGCTGGGTTTCAACAGCAGAGACTTCACAACTAGTTAGGGACTGTGTCTGTTCTTCTTCAAAGTGCAGCGGTTTGGCTTTTCTTTTTCGTGGACCAGGAATCGAATCCTCTTCATCACTTTCTCCATGTTCACCTGTATCCATTGGCTGAGTTTCAACAGAAGAGAGCTGAGAGTTAGTGAGCGTTTGTGTCTGGTCTTCTTCAAATTGCAGTGGTTTTACTTTTCGTTTTCGTGGACCAAGAATCAACTCCTCTTCGTCACTTTCTCCATCTTTTCCTGTATTCATTGACTGAGTTTCAGCAGCAGAGATATCAGAGTTTGTGAGCGTTTGTGACGGCTTTTCTTCGAGCCAAAGTTGTTTTGCTTTTTTCCCACCATTGCTTTCCCCATTTTCACTTGTAGACATGGGCTGAGCTTCATCAACACCAATGTGCATTGGCTGCGTTTCAACAAGCGATAACTCAGAACCAGTAAGGGGCTGTGTCTGCTCCTCTTCAAGCTGCAGAGACTGTGCTTTTCTTTTTCGTGGACCTGGAATCGAGTCCTCATCATCACTTTCCTCATCGACACTTGGAGGCATGGGCTGAGTTTCAGCTAGAGATAGAGCTTCACTGAGATGCCTCCCCTGAAGTTGAGCTCCTTCTCCATGTTTTTCCCTCTCTGCTGTTTCAGTCTGTGCTCTGGGCTTAACTTGTAGTACAGAGGAAACAGGATTTTCTTTATCCAAACTCTCCTCTTCCTCAAAGGCAGACATTGGTTGGGTTTCAGCCATGGCAACAGTAGATGAGGTGGGAAAGTCTAAAGGCTGAGTCTCAGAAGTAGCAGTGTTTTTTCTCTCATCATCATCTGTTTTATCGGAATCATCATCATCTGAATCACAGTGGGGCTCTGAAATATATGCCTGTGTTGCTTCTAGGGCCAAATCTACCTGGCCTTCTTTTACAGACGTTGCTGAACATCTGTCAGATTCCTCATTCTCTCCATAAGCCTGTGTAGCCTCCAGATTTGAATCATTCTCTAAGGAGCTTCTTTCTTCATTTGAAATAGCTGCATATGCATGGGTATCTTCCAGATTCACACCACCTTCCACAGAAGCAAAAGCTTGGGTGCTCTCCATGGCTAGAGCTTGGGCCTGACCCTGCAAGTGGCTGCTGTCAGACAGTCCCAGCTGGAAAGACCCTCCTCTGCTGGACTGTTGGCCTTTTTCATCACCAGAAGACTCAAGGTGAAAGTCTTGGGTTGGGTCCATGGTGTGGTCCTCTGAATGGTTGCCCTGGCAGTCTCTGGTCTGAAGAACAAAGGACTGCGTCTCGGCCACGACAAAGTCCTCATCCTCCTGGCTGTCTGAGCAGGAAGATAAGGCTTTGGGTCTTACAGCAGGACCTATTGTACCTGGGAGAGGAGAAAATAGGTTTGTTAGGTTAAAATAAATATTTTTAAGTTATGTGCAATTTAAATGTATTAAAAATAATTTACTCACGTCTAAATGGGCCTGAAGAGGGACTCACGAAAGATTGAGTCTCCATATCTTCCATTTCTCCTTCTGGAACCATCCCAAAGTGAAAATAACAAAATTAACTATTCAAACAGAAGCTATCCTTTTTAGCACATCTTGATTGCTAAAAGTCATTCATAAGCAGACAGTCTGGCCTATTTCTATTTTGAGTGCCAACAACATATATACTTTTCTGGTTTCCTGTCATTAAAATGTATGAATAGGCTTTATGTCACACCCATACTCATGGGGAGTCTACAACTGTGGACATGAAACATATGATTGTACAATATTAATACAATAATTGTATTTTTCTTTTCTTTTCACTGTTGTTTGTACTGTTGATGCTGTTTTGTTGAATTGAAATACATGAGTAAAGAAAGACTTTGTTTTTTAAAAGCTAAACAAATGCTAAAAGTGTCCAAATACCTCCACTATAAAACAGCAAGAAGCTGAAACAATAATACAAATAAACCAATGTGTCATTTATTCTACAGCTGCAACGACCAATCAACAAAAAACTAATTGGCAACAATAATAATAATCGATTGTTCATTTCAGTCATTTAAAGTAGTATTTCAAGTAGAAGTGCCAAACGTTCCACCTTTCTCAGTGTGAGGATTTGATGCTTTTCTTTAAATAAACTAACTAAACTTTGGGGTTTGGACTGTTGGACGAACAAAAGAACCCAGTAGAATACATCACCTTGTGTTGTGGGAAATAATAATGTAAGTTTTTCACTATTTTATGGACCAAACAATTAATCAAGAAAATTATCGACAGATTAATCAGCAATAAAAAATATCTTAGTTGCAGCCTACATTCAAGTTCTCAGTAGAAGATTGACTGATTACCTGACATCTGTACAGGAGTAGAGCAGTTCTGCAGAAGGGGACCCAGTAACCCAGGTGTATTTCCTCTGCGTAGGCTAGGAATCTGGCCCTCACCAGCCCCTCCAAAATCCACCTCCTCACCTTCCACATCTGTATCGCTGTCCACACTAAGGTTGGCTGGATTGACGCCGCCCTCGGCAGGGGGCATGCTGGATTCATCCACATCTGTGTCTGCATCAGAATCTGACTGAAGAGTTTCTGACATGGTATCAGGAACGAATGACAAAGTTGTGGCAACAAAAGGTATAACCAGAGGAGAATCTCTGTCACTGTCAGACAGAATATCCAAATCAGCACCTATGTCTACAGTGGTGCGTGATTCTGTGACAGCAGGCGGCAGCGAGGGTTCACCTATGGCAGGGGCAGGAATACCTTCATCATCTGTGTCACTGTCTAGATGCAGGCTGTGAGGAGCACTAGGGGCGGATTCAGGCCCAATTGGCTTGATATCTAATCTAGTAGGAGTTTCATCTATTTTAGAGCTTGTATTAATTGTTCTACATTCATTTTCTTCTTCCTCATCAACATCCGTGTCACTGTCTAGGTGGAAATCTTTCAGCTGCGTTGAAGGAGCAGTGTCAGCTGTGTCTGCGCTCTGAAATGACATGGGTTTTTCTTTTGAAGCTGCATCTGACACAGCAGCAGCATCGTCGTCATCCACATCAGTGTCACTGTCCATAGTGATGCCCTCTGGCTGAATAACTGAAATAACATGAGGAGGTCTGGTGTTGTCAGCAAAGGAAGGCCCAGCTTTGAGAACTTTGTCTGAGGTATCATCATCGTCATCAACATCTGTATCACTGTCCATGTGAAACTGCGCTGTGTTTGGTGGCTGATCAGATTGTTGGTTTGTATTCAAGGTCACAGGACCCACAGATGCCACCCCTTCTTCCTCTCCCTCCACATCAGTGTCACTGTCCATGTTAAATGCAGGGACTGAATTCGTGAAGACTGCTGGTGTAGAAACAGGCAATTCATCTTCTCCTATAAGACTGACATTGTTTTCCTGTTTCACTGGCACATGTTGGCCACTTTCCTCAGCCTCTCTCCCTGCTAGTGCTGCTCTTTCTTCATCCTTTCCTTTCTCCTCCTCACTGTCATCCTCAATCACAAGTGGCTTTTTTTCCTTCAGCTGCTGTCGCGCCACATCTACGTCTGTCTCCTTGCCGAAACTGACATGTCTGTGAGGCCTATTTTTTGTGGAGGAGGACGGTGTGATGGGACTTTCATCTTCACTGTAAAGCAGTGGAAAAAACAGAAGTGAAAGAAGGAATAAACTGTTTACAAGTGCATACTTAGGAATTGGTTATGCCTGTGTTATGAATACACATATTTTACCTTTCAGGGACGATTTTGTTTGTGGGACTCAAGAATGTTGAACAGGTGGGACTGGATTTATAGGAGTCAGAATCAGACACTGTAAAAAATAACAACAATGCCCTTGTAAAACATCAGATACAAAAAAACGGGCTTAATTTCTATACATATATAATTTACTTACCTAAAGCCTTGCGCCTTCTGTCTCTTTCTACCCCTCTTTCTCCATCTGAGTCCAAGTCAGATTCTGGGACCAGGGTCCCCTGTGGCTGGGTTGGAGTTTGCTCAAAGGAAAGGCAACTGGTTCTGACAGGAGTCTTCCTTGTGTCCTCTAGATCAGGTAATGACACCTTAGCCTTCGTACCTTCGTTGACACATCTCGTGTCACCTTCCTTTTCTCCCAAGGCACCTGGAAATTTGTCCTTTACCCCGGAGGTCCTGCTCACATGAGTCCTCAAATCCCCTTGAGAAGAGACAGTGTCTGCAGCACAGCTGACATACTGACATGGGATGTCCGCCACTACCAAACTGTCACACTCACTGAGGGCGTAGCGTACGTTAGGAGTCAGCTTTAAGCGGCCCTTGCGGGTCCCATTCATGCTCCCTAGGTCCCATACCAAAGCCTCTATGCCTTCACTGTGACAACCTCTTCTCCCGTAGACAGAGATGCAGATGGTAGCGTGCTGTTTGGATATTGAGGACGCTGGTAAGAGCAGGGTGCAGGTGTTGGGGTCACGACCCAATACATTTTCTCCCAAAAAGAGGGGCAACTCTGGGTGACAGAGAATGTCCATTGTAAGATAAATATAAACAATACCTGTTCATACTCGTTAGGCAGACTGTGTGCATGGATTAACAAACCACAGGTGTAATAAAAGCAGCAGTAAACAAACTCACCTGTCTCAGGAATGTGTTCATTTTTCAAGATGCACAGTTTAGCCAACGGTCGTCCTCTTTTAGCTTCACTCTCCTCTTCACTGTCTTCCTCATCTGACTCCAAGATCGAGTCACTGATCATCTGAGTAGCATCCATTCCTTACACAGGGTTACACAGCACACAACAGCCGCACTAGAAACACAAATAAACGTCTATTTGAGCTGTAAGGTTAATGCTAACCTCTGATTCCTCCCACGTTGAACAGTAACTAGCGGCTAACGTTAGCCCAAATAACTAGCGGATGAGCTCTTTAGCTGTACTTTTGTGTTGTTCTCTTGTTTTCATGCAGTTTGTAGCAGTGTTCGAGCTAAACGGCGCTAAGCAACGCTGAGACAACTTTTATTAAACAATCCCACTTCCGGTCAGCAGGAAAACAAAGCTGAAATCAAAACGAAACAACCGCTAGTTCTGGTAGTAATTCAAACGCCCCAAAATCACAATTTCATGTTATTATTATTAACTACTCATTGTATAATTCAGTCTTGTCAATGGGTACACAATAATGTCCTCAGTTTAAACGTTATTTGCTACAATTAGCGAGAATATCACTCCTTTCTGGGCAATTACCTTGAAAACTATGAAGGAAGTTTACGTTAAGTTTACGCCACGCTAGAGGCTTGACCGTAATAATAATTCACAATAGTGCATGTTAAACTTGTTCAAGTGAGCTCATATGGGTGCATTACGATTTAATCTTCACATATGCTTTTTATTTTATGAAAATGATGTTCTTTCACACCCACCTGGACACGCTTTGCCTTTCTCAGTGGAGATAAACAAAAAATCTAACATGCACATCCTGGACATACGTGGCCACGCCCACAAGAGGCGTTTACACCGCAAGCGATTGGCCAACATATCTATCACTCATCCTGAACTCTGTTACCATTGGACAATCAAACTTCGGTCTTGCCTAAAAGGTCTCTCATTGGACCAAAATTCCCCGAAGCGTCATTGTTCATACGTTTATTTTCGCGCTGTAAAGGGACCATACACATAAAGGGTTGAGTACTAGTCAGTGGTCATGCTCCAGCTGTGTTTATCACTAACAATAACGAAATGCATTCAATTCAGTCAATGCAATAAAGAGTTACAATAAGAGGATGAGAGAGAAGCTGGAAGCCATCATGGACAACCCCTCTCATCCTCTCTACATTGGGCTCAGGCAGCTCAGGAGCACCTTCAGCCACAGACTGACCCATTATTGTGTGCCTTTTTTCCATCTGCCATCAGACTCCACAACGCCACAGCACCCAGTACCTCCAACCCCCGCAGACAAAGACTGGTTT